TCTATGTGTAGAGTTATCTATAAATATAGGAAAAATCATATTAATATATATTAAACAAAACTAAGAGAAGCGTCAGGAGACAAAGTTTTTTTTCTAATACTTATAATTTGCCCACATTTTTTCATAGTAGATAGTATAAAACTAATTATTTTCATATATTCTACTCTTGAGAATTCTCCATCTAAGTATAATAATACCCCTACTTTAAAATCCCCATACTTTTTAATTATGCTAATAATTTCATCTGATTCATTTTTTATAGTTTGGCAGTTTAGAATAACATGTTTTATTGTTGAAAATTCAAACTTTTTACGTAATGGACATTTAGGTATATTAATAATCATATTCCTTCTTTTAGCTATTTCTCCTGTTAACCAGGCATTATGGATGTATTTAAAAATTAAACTTTGTATATTTAAAGAATTTATATTTTCCCATGCTTTCCAAATTTTTCCCCAGTTAACTCCCCATACTTCCCTTTCAATATTGCATCTGTTATTTTTTTATAGTTAAATCCCGTATTGTTTTGTACATAATTTACCACCTCCATATTTCATTGTTTTCCCTACATTTTAAAATTAGATCTTTAGTATATTTAAATTTCCTAGGTGCCTCTAGGAGTTTGCAAATTGCATTGTTTTTATATATTTCTTGTCTACTTTTAAGCATGAAACCAAACCAATATAAATAAATCGCCTCCCATGGCATACTTGGCTTGGATTTGATTATTTTGAATCGATTTATTATGTTTGCATTTTTCATTAAAACTGGACTCGGTAAATTTAAACCTCCTTTATTTTTTGGCCTGTATAATGTATCTTTTTGGATATAATGTGTTTTATATCCCAATATATATTTAATAATTTCATTATCAATTTTCTCTAGATCTTTGTTTATCAAATCTATAGATTTTAAAATATAATTAATATTCGAGTACAAATATGTTTTAGCTACTTGGACTCTTTCCATATTTGTTTATAGTTTTCCTGATCATCAAATACATAGGGCTTTTACCGTTCCTTTAGTGTAATGGGGTGATCCTGGGTGATTACCCCTCCAGTTTTCTATTTTTAAAATCTCTTATTTTTTCTTGATTTATCTTTGAACCCGATGCTTTACCAAAGTTTTCGTATTCTTTCATTAAATGTTTGAAAGAGTTAAGGTTCCTAATAAAGTTTGTGCAATCATATGTATGTTAAAGCATTTTTATTTCGCTTTTCAAATTTGGTATTTGTATCCCTTCTATGTTACTGTTATTCCTTATTCTTATACTCAGAATTTCTATTGCTATTACATATAATAGTATTGAGAATGGGAATCCTTGCTTCACTGATCGCTGTATATCAAATTTTTCCGTAACAGCTCCATTTACCAGTACTCATGCAGTTATATCATTGTACAGGATTTTGGTCCATCTTTGGAAGTTCTCTCCAAAACCAAATTTTTTTTAGTACTTTCCCTATATAGTTGTGTTCAATTCTGTCGAACGCTTTTTCCTGATCGATAAGCACCATGACGCCTATCTTATAATTTTCCTTAATTTATGATAGAATTCCGCAGTGAGTCCATCTCTTGACGGGGATTTTCCTTTTGCTAATTGTCTTATCGCATTTAAAATTTCATTTGTGGAGTTGAAATAATCACATAAGTCTTTATGTTTTGATGAAATCATCTCACACTTAACATCTTTTAAATAGTTATTAATTGTGTCCGTATATATATATATATATATATATATATATATATATATATATATATATATATATATATATATATATATATATATATATATATATATATATATATATATATATATATATAGATGCAATAAACTGACGACGAACAGTACGAAACTAGCAACTAACTAGCCTAAGCGCTTTCGACTCTTAATGAGTCTTTTTCAAAGGCAAATACAAAACATAGTTACGACAAACAAATAAACACAAAAACGTTGCGTTTGTAAACCTCTACATTTCTATCTTCACGTGTGCTAAAACTATAAATACAACCAGCTTGTATAGACTAGTTGCGGAAACTGAAAACGTTGTAACAACATTCGTCGTCAGTTTATTGCATCTATTTTAATTAATACCTGACAAACGTGATCCCTTGGTGGATCCAGTACGCTTGAGAGGGTTGTTATTCGCCATATGATTTGTATTCTTTATATATATATATATATATATATATATATATATATATATATATATATATATATATATATATATATATATATATATATATATATATATATATATATATATATCCTGTTTTGTGTATAATTCTTTATAATATTCCATTACCCTATTTAAAATTTCTTTCTTATCTTTTAGTATTTTTTTCTCTTTATCCCATATTTCTATTAAAAGTTTTTGTCCCCCTTTCCTTAATTCCTCCCTTTTATTTAGACCTTTTGCTGTAGTATATAACTGTGTAAATTTACCCGCTTTTATTTCTCTCCCTCTGTCCTTGTCCAGTTCTATTTGTTTTAATTTATTTTGTAACTCTTTTTTGACTCATCTGAAATCTCTTTTTAATTGTAATTTAAGTTTAGATTCATCCATTTCTCTAAGCTCTTTTATTCTTTTAGAATACCTGATTGCTGTTTTTTAAAATCATTTTTAAGTTTATCCTACATAACTATAATATCATCGTGTTTTATTTTTAAAAATTACTTATTTTCATTTAAAATCTCTTCTATACACTTCCTCATTTAGTAAAACATTTTTAATTTTCAAATCCCCTCCCCATTTACTTCTATTTAAAATGCTAATGTTTAAATCTATCAATTTATGGTCCGAAATTTTCACATCTGTGTTTGTTTTGGAGTAATTATACGTTTTATAACTAAAATTATTTCCATAAAATTTATCTAGTCTACTTCATAAGTTATCCCCATATTCATAAGTGAATTCAATCCTAGGTAGGTTTAACAGTCTATTGATGTCTTTCAATTTAGTGTTTTTCCAAAAATTTGTTCATAACCCCTTTTATCATTTTATCATTAGTTGTTAACTCCCCTTTTCTATCAATCTGGCCCCCTACCCAACAAGAACTTGCGTCCATAATTATGGTTTTCTAAATTGTATATGATTTGAACTATTTGAAGTAGGGGAAACATGCAGCACGTTCACATTGTGCTCATTGTTGAGAGCACAGGTCGTGCACGTGTGGCATAAAATACTATAGATCTGAATTAATGTGATTAGCAGCTCATTCTATTATATCTCGATTAATTTAAAAATTAAAATTTCTACTTCTCTTTGTTTAAAACATATTATGGAAAGAAAACTATGAAAATTAAAAAGATAACAATAATAACAAATTTGAATGGCGTACTTACACTATCTCGAAATTATTAAAACAGAAATTCATTTTTTTTAAAAGTAACACAACAACATATACATATTGAAGAAATATGAACACATAAAAACCGTTTAAATTTTCGATCTAGGGGGTCCCTCAGATGATGTAATTCTGAAAGGGACCATGCCAATACCCCCCATATTGTAACACTGGGCACATTGCTGGGAATCTTTACATGTTCATAGGGGCCCCGAGTGGTCTAAAGCGCTCTTTGTTACGGGTCACTGCCATTTCACATCTGTCTGCGTGGGTTTGAGTCTAAGATTCGGCGAATGTGGATATGTGAGAAAGCTTGCCAGAAGCTTCTCGTGGGTTGGTGGTTCTTTCCGTGGATTTCCCGGTTTTTAACTCCACCATTAATACTGGCCGCCATGTATAGCCTATCGTGTGCTGAAAAATAGCGTTAAGCCACACAACAACAACAACAACAACAACAACAACAACAACACCAACACCAACAACAACATGTTCATATTGTAACACTGGACACACTACTGGGAATCTTTACCTGTCATATTTTGACAATAGGCACCTTGCTTTGAATCTTTATCTGTTCATATTGTAACACTGGGCACACTGCTAGGAATCTGTATATGTTCTTACTTTGACAATAGGCACACTGCTAGGAATATTTACATGTTCATAATTCTAACACTGGGCACACTGCTATAAATCTTTACATGTTCATATTGTTACACTGGGCACACAGCTAGGAATATTTACATGTTCATAATTCTAACACTGGGCACACTGCTAGGAATCTTTACATGTTCATATTGTTACACTGGGCACACTACTAGGAATCTTTACATGTTCATATTGTTACACTGGGCATACTACTAGGAATCTGTACATGTTTATATTGTTACACTGGGCACACTGCTAGGAATCTTTACATGTTCATATTGTTACACTGGGCACACTGCTAGGAATCTTTACATGTTCATATTGTTACACTGGGCACACTACTAGGAATCTTTACATGTTCATATTGTTACACTGGGCACACTGCTAGGAATCTTTACATGTTCATATTGTTACACTGGGCACACTACTAGGAATCTGTACATGTTTATATTGTTACACTGGGCACACTACTAGGAATCTGTACATGTTTATATTGTAAGAGTGGCAAACTATCAAGTAACTTTATTTGTTCATACTGAAAGACTAGGCACACTGCTAAGGACCTTTACATGTTCATATTCAAAGACTTGGCACACTATTAAATTGCTGAATAAGAAATTAATTTATAAATTGCTTTCTACAATTAAACAATTGATTGAGTTGCAATATACTTTAATGCAACAAAAGACAAGCTGGCAAAAGAGTTATCATTTTTCTTGCAAATCATGCAACATATTTAGAGGTACATGTCTAAGTTGCTGTTAAGAGTGTGAGTGTAATTTTTTACGTTGCTTTAACAATTGTTCAGTCATTTCGCTACGATGTGCAGTGTGACAGTTTGTAGTGATGTCTAGCACTGGGGCATCATGCCGCAGACATGTGGCATGATGTCCCACCCAATCACATTATCCTGACACCAGGCCAACCAGTCCTAACACTAGCGTCATAATGCTGAGCGCCAAGCGAGGCAGCTGTTAGTACCATTTTTTAAAGTCTTTGGTATGACTCGGCCGTGGGAATTGAACCCACGACCTCCCGCATCTGAAGCGGACGCTCTAATCAATAGGCCACCGAAGAAGTGAAAGAAATTAAGAAATTCAACTGTTAAGAAATTTATCTGTTCAGTGTCCTACTTTTAATTTGCAGTTGAAAATTTCTGATCAAAGTTGGAGAAAATTTACAAGACATTTACAACAAGAATAACAACACAGTGTCATTTTATATACTTATGCACTGTTGAAGTGTGTTTTGTTTGTCTGTCTGGATGTTGTGTGTACTGTGCATATATTTATTTTGTATCAATTTACTTCCTTTTCATTCGGTAGCAGCATCGTTACGATGTATTTATTTATGGTAAAGCCGACGTCTCCTAGAATAGTGATCACTATATATATATATATATATATATATATATATATATATATATATATATATATATATATATATATATATATATATATATATATATATATATATATATTATACCCTACACACGGCATCGTCAAGAATTGCTGCCGTAGACTTAGACCTTTCACTTCATGTTTTCCAGGCAAGAGGAATGTAATTAGTTGTAGTTAGAGATTTTTCTGTTTACCGAAAAGTAAAACATTAACAGATTATTTCATCTGCCTTTGGAAAGTTTGTAACATGTTGTTATTAGTAGTGTTGCTATACAATACGGATATTTGAATATAGCGTGTCTCGGATTGTTTAAATTTATTTAGAATTCATTTTTAGTTATAATATTACGTTTAGTTTTTGTTTAAATCATTTGCTACAAATTTCATGCTACAAAATAATTTTATTTAAAAATAAAATACTTTAGAAATTATAGGAAATAATATTCTAGTTTAGAATTAAGATTCAATAAAATACATTGATTGAAAATAACCTTGGTATTAAGTTGTAACATTTTACCCTTGAGCATTTTTGCATTATTTTTTGGCTTTAAATTCTGAAATACAGAGTTGTGAGAAGTTGGTTAGCTCTATTTAAACGAAACCTTTCTATTATACCTTTTAAATGACTTGTGTGGACTTTGTCTTATATATCTGGTATGGTTTTGTTTAATTTTAATAAAGGATTGCTGGCGCATACTTAGATCCTTGAATTTCTGTTTTCCAGTTCGATCCCAGTTCTTCTTCGCACATATTAGCACCTCCGAGTGTAAGATACAAATCACTCTCGTGGCGACCGTTACGATGTCGTTTAAGAATGCTTTTAAAATTCAGCTTGGAGCAGCTGAAAATTAAGGTTCCGTATGTTATTCACACGGAACTTGAATGTTTGAATGTTCCAGTGAATAAATAAATTTCGTCAGGGTCACCCTTGATTCAATCAAATATAGCGCAAGTTGCTGACCAAGCTCCTTGCGATGTTGTGGGATGTGAACCGCCAATATTGTACAGTGGCAAGGATTTGATTGACGTGTTTATTAAATCGTCACATGCTGAACACTGATTATCGATAATCTATGGGCAATGGTGACGTCAATACTAGCAGGCAAGTTCACATGGATTGATTCCGCGGTTGTAAACATACACAAACACGTACACTAGTACGATCGCAGTATCGACCATGAATAATACTTTGAAGTTGACCTGGAACATCCAGACTAACTACATAACACTAACATTATTTATCCACACCATCTAGCTGCTGGTAATATGTCAGTGTGAAATCGTGGATGATTCCAGATTATAAAATGCGCCAAGCATGTACCGAACTTGTGTAAGAAATCTAATCATATAGTCCACAATTTGTAGTTGAATCTACGGCTGGAGACTAACTTTTCACTTATCTCTTTGGAGCTACGGTGTATTTAGCGCACCTGGATGACACATCATATATGAATGAATATAGATCAAGCTCAAGAATAAACCGAGGAAAACTTTCAGAAGCGAATAAACGTTGACCTTGTCCGGAATAGCTAGCATGACAAATGCAAACAGGCGGATTGCAGAAACAGCGTTCGAGTCCCAGAAGATCTTTTATGTTGAACGGAGACAGATTAGTTGCTAATGCAATATTGCCGCTAATGACGTCTACGCAAATACTGGTGAGACGTCGCTAGTAAAAGGCAGAAAGGTCTAGAAACTAAAGTAAATTTTTGCGTATTGGTTGCCCAAGCATGTCGATACGGTTTCAGATCACAGATCTATACCGGATCAGTATCACGATATTGTCCTCCTTCTAATTACCAGGTGGCATACATGTACCGAAACAGATTGTTACTGGCTAAATCTAATGAGGATGGCTGCGGCGACAAAGCACTTCGTAGGACCACGACAATTTTCTGTCGAATCAAGTCAGCGGATTTTAACGAGACCGTGCCATGGTTTCATTATTGAACGTAGATATGACTAGCCGAAGCTGCACCACCCATTCGCAAGACCTCTCACGATCCCTCAACAGTTCTTATGCGTATTAATGCCAGTACACTAATTCCGCAATAACCTGGTCACAAAGTATGCTGACATGATCTGGCAACTTTTTCCTTTTCTGTGTAGGCTTAATTGCATTCAAGTCATAGATGAGATCCACGTCGGCAAGTGGACGCACACGGATCAAGGTTATCATGTTGGTAACGATGCGTTTTACGGGTTCTACTCCGGAAGCTGGTCTGTTATCCTGCAGTCGTATACCCAATCATTTTCCAGGTCTATATTAGTTGCATCCAGGTATATGCTTTTTGCCAGGATATTTACTCCACGGTAGCCAAGGTAACTTCATTAACGCAGCATCGATATCACCGTTGAGCTTTTTCTTCATTACATATTGCATACCTATTTAATCTTAAAAGGCTGATCTGATGTTTGATATTCTGTCTAAATCCGTATCGTACGCCTAAAATTTCCGTATTTCACACCCAGCGTGAAACTACTTGGACCACTTGAAATATAAAATAATAGTCATCTTACAAAATATCCATAACGATTTATTACTATACATTTCAATTATTTTTAAAAAAAATGACAGCACATTTTGTAATTCTAAGAAATTCAGTCATATTTGGTGAAAATGGCCGCTTTTGGAGATAACAGGAGAGTCCAGTGAATAGCGATTAGCAGTTTATGTGCTTTTCACAGTATCTAGGCTGATAAATTTATGTTAGTTGACAACAATATCTTGGACAGAATGTTGGCAAGTTCTGGTGTGCAAAGTGACATCGATCGATCGATCGATCGAGAGAATAAACAAGTAATACTAACGAACATTATATTCCTTATGTAAACGGTAATGCCAATACACCCCCAGCCTTGTCACCTTTTATTGTTCTGGGGCATTTAAAATGTCTTCATCAGTTACTCTTTCTTTGCTTATTCTCAGATGTAACATCCCTTTATATTTATATCCCTCTGTGTTTATCTCAATGAGAGAAATAAAGCATTAAGCAATCAGGGCAATTGACGAGAAGATTAAACATTCCTTAGCGTATGCATAACAAGCAAATAAGCATGCATAACAAGCAAATAAGTATGCATAACAAGCAATTAAGTATGCATAGCAAGCAATTAAGCATGCATAACAAGCAATTAAGTATGCATAACAAGCAAATAAGCATGCATAACAAGCAAATAGGTATGCATAGCTAGCAATTAAGCATGCATAACAAGCAAATAAGCATGCATAACAAGCAAATAAGCATGCATAACAAGCAAATAAGTATGCATAACAAGCAATCAAGCATGCATAACAAGCAAATAGGTATGCATAGCTAGCAATTAAGCATGCATAACAAGCAAATAGGTATGCATAGCTAGCAATTAAGCATGCATAACAAGCAAATAGGTATGCATAGCAAGCAATTATGCATGCATAACAAACAAATAAGTATGCATAACAAGCAATTAAGCATGGATAACAAGCAAATAAGCATGCATAACAAGCAATTAAGCATGCATAACAAGCAAATAAGTATGCATGACAAGTAAATAAGCATGCAAAACAAGCAATTAAGCATGCATAACAAGCGAATAGGTATGCATAGCTAGCAATTAAGCATGCATAACAAGCAAATAAGCATGCATAACAAGCAAATAAGTATGCATAACAAGCAATCAAGCATGCATAACAAGCAAATAAGTATGCATAGCAAGCAATTAAGCATGCATAACAAGCAAATAAGTATGCATAACAAGCAATTAAGCATGCATAACAAGCAAATAAGTATGCATAACAAGCAATTAAGCATGGATAACAAGCAAATAAGCATGCATAACAAGCAAAAAAGTATGCATGACAAGTAAATAAGCATGCAAAACAAGCAATTAAGCATGCATAACAAGTAAATAAGTATGCATTGTAAATAAATGAGTATGCTTAGAAGGTGAATGGGTATGCAAAAGTAAGCAGATAGGTATGCATAGTAAACTATGTGAATGCAAAGTAAACAAATGTATATGCAACAAAGCATATGAGTATGTATAATAAATAAATAGGTAATGCATAGTAAACTAATGGGTATGCAAAGCAAACAAATGTATATGCATAGCAAAAAATGGGTGTGCAAAGTAAACAAATGTATATGCAAGAAAACATGAGTATGTATAGTAAATAAATAGGTAATGAATAGTAAATAAATAGGTGTGCAAAGTAAATAAATGAGTTTGTATAAATGTCATATATATGTTAGCTGCATCTAACAAACAATTGTAATAAATGCTAATAATAGAAATACAACATCGGAACGGGATATTTTATTTGACATTTGACAATTTATAAATGACGGACTTACGGCTTAGTTCTTCCAACATCATAAGTTTGGAAAGTAATTTCACTTGAGGAACGATTAAGGCCACATTTGATACCTAACATAAAAATATATTTGGCAAAACATCCGAGTGTTCTAAATTTCGTCAATTTATCTTGGTATTAAATTTCACACGAAATTCTCTTTTTGTGAATTAAAGTTTTATCTGTTTTAAACACTTAGAAAGGAATTATCCATTTGAAAAGTACATTTAAATATTAGGTTTTGAATTTTAGTTTCAAAATTTTAGATTCCAACAGCAATATTATAACTCATTTACTTATAGCTTATTTCATCACCAACATTTTTATATTATTTT